GACTTGTGGGTGATCTCAAATCCTTGTCCAGAGAGGAATTACAAAGATTCGTCCGGCTCTTCATTCTACTACAGTTTTCAACTCTGCTTTTAGGGAAGCCATCTTCATTTCATCATTTCTTTTCTGGAAATCATTATTGCACTAAATAGCATTCCTATTATCTCTACCATGCCTATTTCTTGACTTATCTGAAGCATCTACTGTAGAATGGAGTTTCTTTCCTTGCACTACATTTTACTACCATTTTGGTAGTAAAGAGCACCATCAGAAGTGGTGCAGAGACAGGCAGATATTAATAGTAGATGAAATGACTGCCTTGCCTCTTCATGTACTTTTCTTTGGTACAGGAAATACATGTAACTTCTTTGATTGCACTTTCATGTTCCAGGGAAGGGTATGGAGAACATTTACCGTAACATGCATGAACAGGTGTGGGTTTCTCTTCTTTGTTGCTGCTTATTATAAACAACAGCAAAATGTTCTACCTCTCCTGGTGTAGAACAGTTTTACCCTAAGAGAACTGAAGATAATACCCTATCATATCATCCATTTTACTATAGTAAATTGCTGCCATTTATTATACTATGTTAATTAGACAAGACTATTCTTGAATCAATAATAGACTAATAAAAATACCACTGCCCTCTCGTCCCCCTCCCTCAATGCAAGTATTCTGACTGAACATTCAGTGAAGTAAAGGAGGAGGCTAGATGATCCATATCGTAAAGAAATACAGAGGAAGACTTGAAAAAAATATCTACAGCAGTGGTGGGATTCAAAATTTTTTACTACAGGTTCTGTGGGCATGGATTGGTGGGTGCGGCAGGGGAAGATTACTGCAAAATCCCCATTCCTTCTCCACCTCACTAGCCTGCTTTCCAGCTCCATTCTCCTGTGCAGGGCAACAAAAGAAGACCCAGCCAGGGAGAAGACAGTCTCTTAAATACAAGCAAATAAAGAGAGAAAAATGGATTGGATGTTACATGTTGGTTTTACAATACAAAGTTCCCCCAATTCTCCTCCCATCACATCAACCAAACACACAGGTATAGAATAAGTGGTACTTTCTCAACAGCTGTGAGAGGGATCTTGGGGCCCTAGACTAGTGGACAACCACTTAAATATGAGCTAGCAGTATGCTGCAGCTGCCAAAAAAGCTAATGCCATCTTGGGCTGCATCAACAGAGGGATACCATCAAGATCACTGCAAAAGTGACTCCATCTCACTTCCTCTTTGAGCCATGGTGGCACAGTGGTTAGAATGCAGTATTGCAGGCTGACTCTGCCCACTGCCAGCAGTTCAATCCTGACTGTAAACTGCTTAGACGGGCTGTAAAGCACTGTGAAGCAGTATATAAATCTAAGTGCTCTTGCTCATGCTATTTTTATTGCATTAGTGAGGCCACAATTGGAATACTGTGTCCAGCTCTGGCCACCAAGATACCAAAAAGATATCGAGGCCCTAGAAAGAGTACAGAGAAGAGCAACAAAGATGATAAGGTATCTGGAGCAGAGGTGGTATTCAGCAGGTTCAGACCAGTTCTGGAGAACCGGTAGCGGAATTTTTGAGTAGTTCAGAGAACCGGCAAATACCATCTCTAACTGGAGATTTTACAGTATCCTCCCCCTGTCACGCCCACCAAGCCACGCCCACAGAACCGGTAGTAAAAATAATTTGAATCCCACCACTGGTCTGGAGGCTAAGGTGTACTATGAATGGCTAAGAGAACTAGGTATGTCTAGTCTATCGAAGAGAATGCTAATGAGGGCAGAGGGGACATGATAGCTGTTTGCCAGCACCTGAGGGATTTTCATAGAGAAGATGGGATCAACTTATTCTCCAAAGCACCTGAAGGTAAGACAAGAAGCAATGGGTGGAATCACCAAAGAGAAATCTAACCTGCAACTAAAGGGCAAATTTCTTGACAATGAGAATAATCAATCAATGAAACAGCTTGCCTCCTGGAGTTGTGGATGGAGGTTTACAAGAAAAGATTAGATATCCACTTGTATGGGATGGTCCTACCTTGGACAGGGTGTTGGACGAGAAGACCTCCAAAATCCCTTCCAACTCTATGATTCTAAGTCCGTGATGGCGAACCTATGGCACATGTGCCGAAAGTGGCATGCAGAGCCATTTCTGCTGGCACACGAGAGGTCGCCCAGAAGAGGCCCACTGCGCATGCGTGCGCCACCTGCCAGCCAGCTGATTGTCAGGTATCTGCTGTGCATGCACAGGGAAGAGGCACGCATGGGAGATGTGCACGTGTGCGCAGAGGCATGTGGTGTGCGGGGGTTACGTGCGCATGTGCAGAAGTGTGCAGTGCAGGAGGGTCACACGTGCATGTGCAGGGGATGGGGGAGTTGCACACGCATTGCATCATGGGTGTAGGCATATGAGCATGCGCACGCATGCACTTTTGGCACACAACATGGAAAATGTTAGCCATCACTGCTCTAGGTCTATTTTCTTTTTTTTTTAATAAAAGTTTTTTTTTATTTTTTACACATCTCTTCACATGAGCAACGTGATTCCAGATTACACATTTGTACACAATCACACTTACTTTCTTATTAGTATCACATCACATGATTATCCACTCCACTAATCTTTAAATAAGTTTCCATTTCATATTTCAGTTCATTAATTCAATTTCAAATCATTTCATCCTCACACATATTTCCAATTCTTTATCCCCTATTATTTCCATTTTCAGTTTACCACCTATTTTATTTTACACTGTACATTGTTATCTTCATTAACTTTCTTAAGACCAATATATAGTAAAGAAAGAAAAGAAAAACAATAGATTAACTTTCCCTTCTTACTTACTATCAATTATACATATATATATA